TGCCGCGAGAAATGCCCAATAAATCGAAGATTGGCTGTGGCACATGCGCAATGCTCCCCAATAGCCTGCCAGCCTCTGAGAAATAGTCGTCATCATCATACAACTTTGCGTTTCATAAAAAGGAAGAAACAAATATGTGCAATGCTGGATTAACTCCGCTAAACAGACAAAAATGAGCAAAATAAATCACATCGCTCAATCCATTCCATCTTTGCCATCATGCATTCCAGAAAAAAAAGGGACCTAACAGAAACATGGTTGCACCATCGTGTCTCAAAAACCAAAGAAATGTACCGTCTAGGATAGTCTCTCATAATGCATTACGACATCCTCATTCGCTCTTCCTCCTGAAGAACGCAAGGTACGGGACTGCATCCGACCCAGATTTAAACACCGTGTTCTGTATGTCCGCAGGTTCCCGGCTGCCAATGCGGACCTTGGTCACGACGCTGTCGTTACAGCAGTACCAGGCATACGGGTCGTGGGTGCTTGAATCACGCACATAGGCGTAGTAATGCCCACTGTCTATACTTCGCCCAGAATGAACAATGACTGCGTAGCATTGATACCGGAAAGGGCCACAGAAGGCTCTATCATGTGTGGAGGCGCCTTGCCAATCTTCAGCCGAGTTGAGAAAGTACGGCGTAAAGTCGAAGTCATTGAAATCCCAAGTAACTTCCGCGGTAGACTTGACAACACCTCTTCCATTGACCTGGAAACGGCGGAAACTGACACAAAGAAGGGGCGGCATTCGTGCTAGGGACTCTGAAATCTTGGCTGGCCTTGAAGTTGCACAACAGTTGCACCTAAAATCATCGATTTCGTCGCCCGTGTTGGCCTGCCGCAAGGCTTCAGACAGAGTCATGTTTCGGTCGCCAGATACATTGACGCCAAGCGATTCAAACTGCGAGAACGTGTAAGTCCGAGTGGCACAGTGGTGGCATTGAACTGTGGACAACTGAAGCCCGCGCCAATACTGATCCACAATGGAGTCGTTCAATCGTTTATGGTTTTCCCAGTATCGTTCTGCCGCTTGAACCAGCTGTATGCCCTGAACATTGGGTTGGTCAACCGTGCCTTGCTGGCCCCGTCGAAGATTGGTCTCATCGTGAAGCTGATCCATTAAGAAGGACATGAATTCTTGCGCATCTTGTTGGTCTTTTCCACCAAATTTCGTCTTGGGGTCACCGGTGGCGCACAGATGTCGGGAATAATCCTAATTTTCACATTACGTTAGTATGTGTCCCCCCTTGTGCTGTCGTGTATAGCTCATGACGGACTTACCATGAGCATTTGAGCCTTCATAGTCTGGAACTTGCCGGAACTCATCCAGTAGAAGATATTTGACAGCATTTGAATCATCAGCTGTGGCTGATCCATCTTTTCACCAGGTTTCCGGGGCACTTGGTTCTTATACCGCCTTGCCCATTCCGAGTCAGCAATTTCTCTCCCGAAGCTAGGAGATGCAAGCAGAGATTGTATTATGCTGTTTGCATAACACCAATTGCCTGGATTATTGAGCCCTGTGTGCACTTTGACAGGTGTTGCAGGTACTTGCTCTGTAATTTCATGGTCATCGTGGCCGTCTTCGGACAGGCTGATATGGCTGGGGCGTTGTACTGCGGCTTGGGGTCGAGTTGGGGGGCTGAGCATCTGTACAGGGGAGCCGAATCCCGTTGCAAAGTCATGTTTGTATCGCTGTTCGGCAGAAATTCCAGATGACATGGATTGCTGTTCTAGTGACACCGGAGGAAACCTCAGAAATTCGTCTCTGGTGCGAGGGAAAGATGGCGGTGCCGCATCCTTTTCAAGACCTTTTCGAAATGTCTCTACGTCCTTTTCAGGTAGCGGATTAAAAACATATTTTGAACCTCTTCGTTGAATGAATGGGTGGCGTTTGCTGGCTCTGGGTTGCGTCTTGGCATCTGTAGTCGGAGTAGATCGTAGGGAGCCAGCTCCATAAAGGTCAGTCCACGCATTTATCCCGCCTTTGAGGAGCTTGGGCGGATTTCTTAGCTCCTTATCGTAGCTCAGCTCAACCAAGGCACGGTTTAATGACCAGAGAGCAATGTCCCGCGGGTCTTTGTCAGATTTAGGGAAGGATTCCGAATCTTGGTCGTAGAAGACCACTAAGTCATATGACTGGCGCTTCTCGAATAGCGAAAGCTCCGTGGGGGGAGACAGAACCAGAGCTTCCGAGATATCGCTGCATGTCACATCTCCTCGTTCCAAAATGTTTGGTTCGATACAAATAATCGATACGGCCATAATATGTCCTTCATCAAAATCCTCGCGGGGACGCACATCAATGTAGAGAATAGATGCCTTGGCTTCCCTGACCGTGATGAGCTCCCTAGGGGTGATGGTATTGCCCTCGGGGATTTTGAGTGCCTTCTCTGCCACGTCAGATGCCTTTGGAGCACTGGGCGGAACAAGAGGAAAGTATTCGTCGCTCTGCCGCGGTTGATTCGCGCTGGGAGTTCCCGATATTGACGTGGATGAACCTTTTCGGCTGAAGAGTCCCCTGGGCGTACTTGTGGGCAACCGCGCCGCCTCTCCAGAAACGCTACCTCGAACCGGGCTATATATAGCATCTGGGGGCTTGGGTAAGGCGGTGTCATAACTCATATTAGTGTTTACCTTTGGGGGGGACGGCGGCATTTGTCTTGGGCCGGCTGGCCTCTGAGGAATGATTGGATAAGTCTTAATTCGAGGATCTTGTCCAGGTGATGGCTGCGGTCCTCTCAAATTGGCGAATCGAGCGGCTAAATCCAATGTCATATTGTTTGCGGAATTGGTACGATTATGTCGAGGAATGGCGTTACCATGAAGAGCTGCAGGCTTTGGGTTCACAGCTGGCTTTGACTTGGCGGGAGGGCCACCATTCGGTAAGTGAGGCACATGTCCGTTTGGCAGCTTCTTCTGCTGCTGTCGTTCTTCTTCTTGTTGAACAGGCCGTACTCCGGTATTGCTTGTAACGGGCAGAGGAGCATTTGATAGTCCGTTGACTGTGGTGACAACAGGCGAAGTTTCAACCGTAGGGCGGACACCAGTCCTTCGGTTATCGGCAATGATGTCTTGCTTGATCTGGTTGTATATTTCACTTTGGCGATTTATCTTGGATAAAAGGGCTTTGTGTAGTAGAGAGGCGTCCCCCTGTTTCGACGCCATGGTAGGAAAATCTGGGTGTCTCCGAATAACTTCCACGGCGATGACAAACGCCCTGACATAGTCCTTCAAAGCGATGGCAGGGCGATTGAAATCACGATGCAACTCAGATTGCCGAAAAGAGCTTTCTGCCTGCTCCAAAAGTCTCCTTATAGACTGATTCGGATTGATATCTTTCGGAATGGAGACGATATCGTCGATGTGTGGAAAGGGAGCGGCTGAGGATCGAGGAGGACCGGACGAGGCTCCATTTCTGGCATGATAGCCTCCCACAGGCATACTATGCCTAGGGTTGGCGTTTGCGGCCATGGATGCGCTGCTCGCAACAGATGCTTGAGTCTCAGCAAGCGCAGGCCGGCAATCGCTCAGATCTCATCAGCATGGAGCGTTGTCGCAACTGTGGTTGGCGTGGTCCTTCATATCTCGGCTTGACAAGCTGACTGGCTATTTTTACAGGGTTTGCTGAGTCGATGACGACCCCTGCCACCTTTGGGAGATTGGAGATGGCGTTCTTGCTTTGTTTTCAAGTCGTGGCTCGGTCGAAGTCGAGTGTAGGCACGTGGGAATGGATGAATGCGCAAGAGGCGGGTGAGGAGTGGTGACGCATCCGCGAATCCCCTGACTTGGTGCTCGCCTAGGTGTCTGGTGAGGAGCAAACTGTCTGGCTTTTCCCCGTTTTTACAAAGGCGCTGGCAACGGCATCGCTCATAAACAAAAACGCGCGTATATCGGACGATGTCGACAGAGAGGCGGCCGCAGGCCAGTCGGGTAATATTGAAGGCTGGGGAGATATTGGCTGGACCAGTTGGCGTGTTTGTGTGAAGCATGTACAGAGTACTCCAGCGACTTACCACGAGGTACGATTTCCATGTGCTGGGTGGATGCGAGCAAGTACAATGGGCGGGTGGAGGGGTACCTGGCGTGCGGCCCCGCAGCTGGGGAAAGCAAGGTACCCACCACGAGGAGGTTTGTACTCTAGGTATCCTGACATTGCCATCTCCCGTAGTGCATTCGAGCGCTTGAGTGCTGAGCCCTTGAGCATTTGGGCACTAGACGCTTGGCACTGGGCATTCTAACTCGATATAGTGCGAGGCACGTATGCACCCGTTAACTTACAGTGGTCATCAGTCAGCATGAATTGATATTCAAGCATTGACCAGACCCAACCGTGGAAGGCAGGAGCCTTCTCGAAGCCCGCCAACCCGCTACACAGCGGCCGTGCATTCGTCCTCTTAGTCGCCTGAGCCACAGCGCTGACGTTCGACTATAACCATGGAAACCCAGGCGCGCAACTGTCAAGTGTTGGACTTGGTTTCTGGATAAAAATCATGTAGTTATTTGAAACGCCTGTTAAGTATTCGCATATTACTGCAGGGACATCAGTACAGCCACTGGTTTTTTTTTTTCCATTCGCCCTCGCATGCTGCGACCAGTTTCCCCAAGTGTCAGATGTCGAGACGTCAACTGGTCGTCGTCTCGTGCTCCACATTACTGACGCAACACCCGGCGGCCAACGTAACCAGCAGGCAGGCAGCTTTAACCCGAGCTGAGGCGGCACCACACCTTGCTCATCGTCCTTGGCAAGGCTGCCGTCTACCATCCACAAGTTACCATCCATCGTCAATCAACCTCTAGAACGTGAGGCTCGGCGACACATCGTCTTTTGCATTCCCATCCGCTTGCTGTAGCTGTAGCTGCCGCTGTCGTCTCTTGCCCGCCCGCCCCGCCCTTTGTCGCCCTTCCTCCCACGACCGACGTCCTACTCTCCTCGAGCAAAGCCGACATCGTCATCTCCTCATTCAGCCCCAGGTCCGGAGCCACCCATCGCCACCATGATGAGCTGGTGGTCATCCTCGGCCAACACGGCCCTGGATGAGCAGATTGAGAAGGCGACGAGCAGCAGCTTGTGAGTACCATGACGGCCCCGCCTGTGCCCAGCAGGTGCCTGCATATCGCAGCCTTTGTTGACCGTGGTGACAGGGAGGACATCGCCTTGAACCTCGAGATATCCGACATCATCAGATCCAAAACCGTAGCGCCCAAAGAGGCCATGCGATCCCTCAAGAAGCGAATCGGAAATAAGAACCCAAACACCCAACTCAGTGCCTTGAATGTATGCCGCCGCTGGCTTCTCGTCGGCTACCATGACACTTCCGCTAACACATGTATTCCAACAGCTCACAGACACCTGTGTCAAGAATGGCGGATCGCATTTCCTGGTGGAGGTTGCCTCGCGCGAGTTTATGGACAATTTGGTATCACTACTGCAAGCCGTGGGAGCCGTTGCAGTCAACGCCGACGTAAAGACCAAGATTCTTGAGCTTGTGCAGCAATGGGCAGCAGCCACTGAGGGCCGACACGATTTATCCTATATCAACGAGGTTTACAGAACATTACAGCGAGAGGGATATCAATTTCCTCCTCGAGTAACGGTGGCGAGTAGCATGATTGACAGTAGTGCGGTATGATTGATATCAGAGTTGTTTTAATTAAGTATAACTCTGACCGATTACTGACCCATGTCATTTTGTTGTAGCCTCCCGAATGGGCCGATTCAGACGTTTGCATGCGCTGTCGAACTGCCTTTACGTTCACGAATCGAAAGCATCACTGCAGAAACTGTGGCAACTGCTTCGATCAGCAATGCTCCAGCAAGACGATCCCACTACCACATTTGGGCATTCACGCACCGGTCCGAGTTGACGATGGTTGTTATGCGAAGCTGACGGGCAAGGGATACAGGGAACTCGGTCCGCCGGATCGGTCACCCACATACCCGCACAAAACTCGAAGCACATCGGCCATGCAGCCTCGGAATGCGCGTGTGGATGATGGTTTCGACGAAGATTTGAAGAAGGCACTCGCGATGAGTTTGGAAGATGTCAAGAACAACTCTAGAGGCTATGTGGAACCGGCAGAAAACAGGGCTAGAGCCACAAAGGACTCGTCAAAGCTAGAGGAAGAGGAGGATACTGACTTGAAAGCCGCGATTGCTGCGTCTCTAGCCGACATGGAGGAACAGAAGAAGAGACATGCCGCTGCACTAAAGGAACAAACATCAAACCGTCCTACCAGCTCATCATCAACGCCGTTTGTTCTCCCCAAGAACGACTACGAATTGACTCCTGTTGAAGCCGAGAACATCAACCTCTTTGCCACACTGGTGGACCGTCTCCAAACCCAACCACCAGGGACAATATTACGCGAGCCGCAGATTCAGGAACTTTATGACAGTATTGGCACCTTGCGCCCGAAGCTAGCAAGAACGTATGGTGAAACTATGAGCAAGCACGGTAAGTTCATCTACTGTACTTTGTGGCAAGGCATCGACGTAGCTAACTTGGGCACTGTAGATACGCTACTTGATCTCCATGCCAAGCTGTCCACCGTGGTTCGCTATTACGATCGTATGCTGGAAGAACGCCTTTCAAAGGCCTATAGCCAGCAGAATCTAGGTGGCTACAGCCTACCGCCTCCTCGCCAGCCCACAAGTGCATACCCTTCTGTGCCGTCACAAGCTCACGCCAATCCTGGTGTCGCTGAAAGCTTCTACACGGGGCAAGTGCCTCCTCCAAGTTTTCAAGTCCCTCCCGCTCAATCGTATCAACAACAGCAGGTTCCACCACAAGCAACTCCTCAGCCTCAATTCGCTTCCTATAGCCAGCCTACGGAGCCTCATTCAGGCCAGTATGCGCCGCCTCAGAGAACGAGCAGTTGGCAGACACGGGCTCCATCTGTCCCTCAAGACCCGTATCATCCGCAGCAGGCTCCTGTAGTAGAACCAGCGCAAGGAATACAAACGCCCCAGCAGGCTCCCGCCTCACCGTCGACAGAGCGCCGAGGCTCGTACTATTTCGGCACTCAGCAACAGCACTCGGTGCAAGTGCCCTCTGGCCCGTCTGCACCTGGGCCAGCTCCGGACTCAACTCCGTCGCCATATCCTAGCCTCCAGCATTCCATGCAGTATCAGCAGCCAGCTTCCACTACTGCACCCAGCCAAGCAACACCGATACAATCCCATGCTCAGCCAGCCCAGGCAGGTCGTCGGCCTTCCCAAACCCAAACCCAGTCTCAACCGCAAAGCCAGCAAGTTTTGGTCCCTCAGCAGCAGCAGCAGCCCACGGCGCAGCAGCAGCCAGCTCAGCAGCAGTTCTGGCACCAGCCTGGTGCTCACCAGTCCACCGAACAAACTCCTCAGCAACAGCCAGAGGCTCCTCAGTCATGGGCTTATACCGGATACGCGCAGCCTACATTCCCGTCGGTACCACAACATGAACCCATGAAGAAGCCTGTACAAGAGGAAGCGCTAATTGAGCTGTAATTTCTTTGCCTGGTGTTTATTTGATCTTTTGAGCAGTGTTTGGGATCTCTGATGGCATGTCATGGGGGGAAACGCAAAGATTGGCGAGGCGTTACGTGTTTCTCGATATTTCTGTCACCCAGCAGTCTTAAGGGAACAATGAAATTGGCACTCCAACAAAAGCTACCTCATCGTGGTGAGCAGAGATTTCTCAAGACTGGTTGACGAGCACTATTTATTTTAGTTGATGATACCAAAAGTTGGACGTGTTGTATGTAACAACAGACGTGCACCCCACGCCAGGCGTCCAGCGTGAGAGGAGATGGAATACGTCTTTTAGAGGGTACTACTCATCAATGGATAACCCAGTTCCCCGAGCACCGGGAGCTGTGACTGTGAACATTTGCCCAATCGTCACTTGGTCAATAATACGAGTTGCCTCTAATTTCAAGGGCATCACCCTTGCCTGGTAGACCCATCATTACCGCCACATAATACGGAGTAGGCATGAGCAACGATAAAACTTGAAATGTCTCAATTGGTCATCAACGCAGATCCCATGACTGTCTGAGGCTTTTGGTCAATTACTGCGTAGGCTGTTACCCATTTTTTCCCACCATCCCTCCCGAGTTCGGTGCTCGCATCGCCACAAGGGCGTGGACAATATACGGAGTGGCCTCCACACAATACAGAGGTTGCCCAGAGTAGAAGCTCCGCCCGCCGTGGTTCGCACGATAAACAGCCTTCCCCCCTCGGTCGGGCTTTGCCATCCGGGCCACAGGACTCCGGGGAACGGTGCACCTGGTGCACTTGCGTCACCTTCGCCAGGGGCCGAGCACCGCAACATTGTTATTCTGCGGAGGAGGCGTAGTGCCAACCTAAGGCCAGTGACTAGACTAGGTACTATTTATGGCGGTCAGTGGTTTCCTCTCCTTGGACCGGACTCACGATGGTTGATGCCTATGAGTTGAAGAACCCGTAATAGTAGATTGTCGTGGTTTTTCAAGGCCGTAGTGATCCCTCATCCTGCCTTCTTTTTCCCTCCCGGACGTCGACTTTTACACAGCTTGCACGAGACGTAAAACCTCAGCCGGGTTTCACTTCTCGCCGAGAAACTCTGCCGCGATGCCTCCCACGATCCATCTCGTCCGCCACGCCCAGGGCTTCCACAACCTCTCCGTGGAAAACGAATCCCTCCGCGACCCGGACCTGACTGCCCTCGGCGAGCAGCAGTGCGCCGACCTGCGCTCCGCGTTCCCGTCGCACGCCAGGCTCACCGGGCTCGTGGCCTCGCCGCTCCGGAGGACCATCCAGACGTGCGACTTGGCCTTTGGGGGCGCCGACAAGCTCTATCCCATCGTGCTGCTCGACACGCTGCAGGAGGTCTCTGGCGCGCCGTGCGACACGGGGTCCAGCAAGGCCGCGCTGCGTGCAGAGTTCGGCGACAAGATCGATCTGCAGCGCGTGCGGGACTCGTGGACGGAAAAGGGCGAGGGAAGTGTGTTTGAGCCGACCATGGAGGCGCTCATGGCGAGGGCCAAGACGGCGAGGAGGGCGCTGAGGGAGATGGCGGGCGATGGGGACGACGAGATTGCCGTGGTGAGCCATGGCGGGTTTCTGCACTTTTTGACGGATGATTGGGATGGCGTGCCCGTCGATCAAGGTGAGTTTCTTCTTCTTCTTCTTTTTTTCTGTCTTCGGCTTGTCGCAGGCGCTGAATAGCAAACTGATCAAGGTTCCCTAGCCACTGCGTGGACAAATTGCATGTGTCGTTCGTACCAATTTGCCGAGTCACCGGATGACAAGGACGACGTCAGACTTGTTGAGACAAAGGAGAGCTGGGCTCGGAGACAGCCTGCGTCGAGACAGCCGCTTACTGCGACGGAGCAGAGGGAGATTCGGGCCATTGTCCAGAAGCGACTGCTGCCGTATCTGAAGATCAAGGCATGAGCGATTTTAAGTGAGCGTCTGAGATGGAGGGGTAGATTTGTTTGGGTAAATAAGACATGGCTCTGATTATGGATTGTCCTGCATGCTTCGCGGCAAGATGCCGTGGGGGGGTATTGAATTTTCATGAATTAATAGATTAAATAAAAGCTAGAACTATGATAGATGCCATGAACAATCGTATTAAACAGCTCGAGATGGAATGTAGTTACATGAACTTTAGTTTTTCTGTATGGTATTTACCCACAGAGTATCCCGGAAGCCTCGTCTCGCTTTTGTTCACATTACCGGCTGCATCTTTACATTATATAGTCCAGATCATTTCGTTCTAGATGATCCTGTACCTGTCTTATTTCCTTCCATGTACTGGGTCGAATTTCCAGCATTCGAAGAGCGACTCCCGACTCTGTGTTGGGAGATGGCTCTAATTTACAGCGACAGAAACACTTTTGTCCGGCCTGGGTAGGTTCGAGAAACTCCCTGGCCGCATTATCAATAGGGCTCCCTTGTTCCTAGCCTAAAAGAGCTCCCGTAAGATATGGTGGCGACTCTGATAGTAGGTCCCGAAGTTGGAAATACTGCCTTCGGAAAAAGTTCTCCCGACTAGAGTACAGCACACGAGCAAAGACGTTATACACTGCGTGGGGTTGACGCTGCATCATAGCTGCCTTGGACTCTGTGATCTCAGTAAGACGAAAACATGTACGGGATGGATTGAACATGCGCATATTGACTGCGACAGCAGTCCATGTGGCCTGTGGCATGAGACCGGATGATTGCGGGGAGAGACCTTTGCTAGGCTTTAGAGTAGCCCTGGGGTCAGGTGTCTGCTCAAAGTAAGAAGCACGACTAGCTGCTTGCTGCGATCTTGAGGCTTGTTGTCGAATGTCTTCCCAATCAACAGTATCCGTAGACTGAATACTGGCACAGCTACCGATTGTCCCACTGCTGTCACTGGTTTGCGGGGAGGAGAACTGCAGGTCTGGGTCGTAGTCTTCGGCAGACCTCGACTCAACATCAAAGGCCCGGACTACGCTTGAAGGGGGATTCTCTCCTACAATTTCTCCCGTGCTTTCCTCCAGGAGAGTTTGGAGTGCGGCGTCGTCGATGCCGTCACAATGGAATTGCTCATCGGTAGTAGAGCTCGATGAGGCTGTCAAATTGTTCTCCAGTGTCTGCATCTCGCTAATCATTGCTAGCTCAAGCTCGAAGCCCGTATCACTGTATTCATCTGAGAATGAATCAGCTGCTGTCGAACCAATGTTATGTCTCACTCACCTGAAGAGCAGATCTCTTGCTGCCTTTGTGGCTCGGATGCTTCCGTGGCTGATTCAAGCGATTTGTCCATATTCTCTAATGACGGTATAATGCCTCCTGGTGCAGAGAGGTTGCTGTAGGTTCGACTTGTAGAGTCTAGTCTCGCTCTACGGTGGGAGAGGTCTTCCGGAGGAGAGCTAACTCTTCTCTTGCCGCAGTTGGCAGACGGCTGCGTGGCCATGATGATTGCGTGACAGGCTGTGATGATCTGGATGTTTGGCAAGATAAATCCATCGAAAAAGAGAATGATTGAGAAACGAAGCGTTTAGAATTTTTGGGGGATTTTAAGCTGTTCTTTTGTCGGAGAGCAGGTGGCCGACAGAACCACGAGGAACGACGGTGGCTCTTTCCATCTTTGTTGAAAGTGCAAAAATCACGCCACCGGGGCCAACAACCGGAAGGTAGGACCTCATAGTAGGCAAAACTGCATGTGCAGGATACAAAACGAAGTCAAATTGTTTCTCTCGATGAAATGATGTCTTGGCAGACTTTAGCAGCTCAGCAGTAATTTTATGCGACTTTGCTCTTCGACCTGCACGAGTGAGTGTGTGACCAGAGAGGGTCTGAGGTTCAGATACTAGCTCCACTTTTAAATGCTAGTCCGCATGGTTGAATGTAACCCTAACCCTAAACGCCAAAGTAAGTGGGGCTAGTATCGGGTGCACCTGCACCTAATGTCATGTCTTCTAGGCCCTCACTTACACAGACTGCGAATAGCAGCCAGTAGCGTCGGTGGACAAGTCCCGAGCCAACCCCGAATCTCCCACCGCAGCGGGGCCCAGAGCAGAATGCAGCGCCAGCTTAGCCAGGGACGGGGTTTCACGACTGAGTTTGAATTGAGTTGCCACAACTTTAGAACTTCCGCAAGAGGGTTCTCTTCACCTCCTCCACCAATAGGCGTTCACAGTAGACCCTGCCGAAGGGCACATGTGAGCCCCGTCCCGATGCTCCACGACTCTCACGTCACCGGCATCACGGCGGGTCCGCGAACAATGACGAATGGTGCAGGCTGAGTCGACGGGCATCACGAAAAGTACCACCGTTCCCTAGCCATTGCGACCCAAGACCAGTCGCATTTCTCTTCTCATTCACACGTGCCACTGCCTCCCCAGATTCCCATCCCCGCGTCGCCACGTCTCCGCATTGCGCATTATTCGGTGGTACCTCTTTTCATCCCACGTTTAGGGCATGTACCTCGACCACTCACTTGAATCGAATTGCTCCACACGAAGTCGGTTTTGCGAGACCGCGCGAGCCGAGGACTGTTCTTTCCGGGGAGACTGGACGTGAGCGTCTTTTCTCCTTGAGTCTTTTAGAAAAACCGCTGCTATATTCACGACAAATTGTCAATATGGGTGACGCTCCTGAGCCCAAGAGATCCCGGACTGGGGATGCTGAAGAGACCTTTGTTGGTAGCATTGATCAGGGCACTACGTCGACACGATTTGTAATTTTCAATGCGAATGGCGAGCCCGTCGCGCTTCATCAGATGGGCTTTGGCAACGTCCACCCCGAGTCAGGGTACGCTTTCCTCCCCCGTGCTCTGGGCGTTCGCTCTTTGCGACTAACATCAGTCACAGATGGCACGAACACGACCCTCATGAACTGCTCCAAACCGTGGAAACTTGCATACAACAGGCTACCAAGAAATTCACCGACAAGGGCTTCGATATTGCCAAGGTCCACGCTATTGGGGTCACAAACCAGCGCGAGACCACGGTCCTCTGGGACAAGAATACGGGAGAGCCACTCTACAA